GGAAGAAGGCTGCTGGTCCATATGATTTAAGGATCCAGGGTGATCTGCTGCAAGCGTGTGGTCGGCCCCTAGGGGTCACAGGGAGGAGGTGAGGAGGACATTGTATCTATCAACACATACTGCTCTCTCTGCTTCTGCTCTCTCTATTCCTCTCAAAATTGTCAATGTTAATTTTTTACTGTTTTTGCATTTGGGAAGGTTCCCCTTGAGGTTATCTAAAAAAAAACACGGGTTTCTTAAACGCAAACGCTCATAAACGCAGGTATGCAAACGTGACTAAAACAGACGTTTTTTGTTTAACCTACGTTTCCAGCATCAGTTTCCATCGTTCAGAAGGATGTTTTTCCGGCAAACGTCCCGTGTACATGGAGCCTTAGAGTTTTTTTCTGCTCCTAGAAGCTAAGCTGAGCGTTATCCTCTGTGTTCATGCATTACTACTTTAGGCCAATAGCAATATTTGGAGCTTCAGCATCTAGGAACAAAAGAAAAATGTTTTTGTAGAGTTTTTCTGGAACTTTTTTCCAGCAGAAAAAAAATGCTAAACGCTACTAAAAATGCTCCTAACAGCTTTTTTCTTGCTTTTTTTCTACATGTACTGTAAAAAACTGCTATCATTCCTAAACGCTATTAAGAAAACGCTATTACCAGCGTTTTTTTTACCCAGCTTTTTTTAGCTTTAAAAAAATGGTGGTGTGCATAGAGCCTAAGCGTTTTTTTTCTTCTTCTGCTCCTAGAGTTAAAATAATGTTATCCTCTGTGTCCATGCACACTACTATTAGCGTTTTTTTAGCTTCAGCATTTAGGAGCAGAAAAAACACTTTTTTTGTAGAGTTTTTTGGAATGTTATTCCTGCAGAACACAAAAAATGCTAAATGCTCCTAAAACATTGCCTAACAGCTTTTTTCTTGCTTTTTTTTTACATGTACTGTAAAAATTCTAATAAAACACTATCGTTCCTAAAAGCTACTAAAAAATTGCATTATTACCAGCGTTTTTTACCCACCACCATTTTTTAACATAAAAAAACGGTGGGATGTGCGTGGAGCCTTAGCCTTTTTTTTCTTGCTCTCTAGAAGCTAAATAAAAAAATGCTGTTACCAGCGGTTTTTACCCACCATTTTTTTACCATAAAAAAACAGTGGTGTGGCGTGGAGCCTTAGAGGTTTTTTTTTTTCTGCTCCTAGAAGCTAAAATCGTGTTATCCTCTGTGTCCATGCACATTACTTTAGGCTATAAAGTGTTTTTTGTGCTTTAGCGTCTAGGAGCAGAAAAAAAAAACTGTTTTTTGTAGAGCTTGGAGCGTTTTTCCCTTAGCAGAATAAAATGCTAAACACTCCTAAATGCTGCTAAATGCTACTAAATGCTCCTAACAAGCTTTTTTTTCTAGTATTTTTTTCTGCCATGTACTGTAAAAATGCTAATAAAGCGCTGACGCTTCTAAAACGCTACTAAAAAAATCACTATTACCGAGCATTATTTACCCAGTGTTTTTATCCATCTTTTTTTTAGTGTGCATGGAGCCTAAGGGCTGGTTCACACTATAGACACGCAGTCCAGATGTGTTCCAGATGCGTTTTTGCAGGCGTGTTTTGTGACGCATCTTTGGCGCGTTCCAGTGCATTTTTTATGCATTCCAGTGTGTTTTTTGATGCATTTCCAATTCATTTTTCCCCTTTTTCTTCAATTAAAATAGGGACACGTGCGTTCCAGTACGTTTTTGGTGTCATTCCCAGTGTGTTCTGGCCAGTTCACACTACAAAAAACACACTCTGGATGCATTCCGGATACGTTTTTGCTTACAGTTCACACCACATGCAGTTACGGTGCAGTTCTGATGCAGTTTGCTATGTTCCAGCATGTTTTTGTGCAGAAAAAAATGCATCAGTTTTCTACTTTTTGTTTGCACCAGAAACTGACTGGAATTGACTGCACTGGTGTGAACTAGGGCCATTGGAATACATGGAAAAACACAGTGCATGCTTTTTTGATGCAGAAAAAAAAGCAACTGAAACACGGCATGTACTGGTCTGGGCAAGTTCACACTACAAAAACGCACTCTGGAAGCATTCTGAATACATTTTTGCTTACAGTTCACACCACATGCAGTTCCGGTACAGTTTTGATGCAGTTTGTTGTGTTCCAGAATGGTTCTGTGCAGACAAAAATGCAGCATGTTCTACGCTTTTTTCTTCACCGGAAACTGACTGGAATAATGACTGCACTATAGTGTGAACCAGGGCCATACATACATGGAATACATGGAAATCACTGCGCATATGCATTTTTTGATGCAGAAAAAAAGCGCACTGAACTGCATTTAGAGTGAACTAGCCCTCTAAGGGCCAGTTCACACTATAGAAATGCAGTCCAGATGTGGTTCTGTATGTGTTTTTGCATGCGCATTTTTGATCACCGTTCTGCTGTGTTTTTAACTAGTTGCCGACGCAGATAGCTGAATGACGGCTTCACTGCGGCCGGCCAGTTCTGAGTGGACGTTCATATGACGTCCTCCCAGAACGCGCTCTCCTGCGCGCCCCAGGGGGCCGCGGCACACGGCGATCTCCGTGATCGCTGTGTCCTACGGACACAGCTGATCACGTGATGTGGTAAAAAGGCCAATCACACCGGCCTTTTACCACGTGATCAGCGGTGTCCAATGACACGCTGATCAGAGGGAATGCAAGTGCCGATTCTCGGCTGCACTTTCCTCACGCTGTCAGATCGTGAGGAGGAAAGTACTGCCGAGAACCGGCAGTTGTCAGAGCGGGGATCGGCACTCCGATCATCAGGGCACTGATGATCAGTGCCCTGATGATCGGTGCCCAGCAGTGCCACCCGCAAGTTCCGCCCACCTGTGCCCTGCAGTGCGCCCACTAGCTCCGCCCACCTGTGCCCAGCAGATCACCCACCTGTGCCCAGCAGTGCATTCCCACCTGTGCCCAGCAGCAGTGCACCCACCTGTGCCACTCTGCAGTGTCACACACCTGTGCCCAGAAGTGCCACCTACTGTGCCCAGCAGTGCCACCCACCTGTGCCCACCCACCTGTGCCCACCAGTGCCACCCACCTGTGCCCACCCACCTGTGCCACCCACAGTGCAGCCCAGCAGTGCTGCCAGTCAGTGCCACCATGTCAGTGCCCCCAGCGGTTGTGCCAGTCCAGTGCCGCCAGTCAGTGCCCAGCAGTGATGCCCAGTCAGTGCCGTCTATCAGTAACCCATCATCAGTGTCACCTATCAGTGCCGCTATCAGTGCTGCATATTAGTGCCAGTGCGCCTATCCGTGACACCTCATTAGTGCTGCCTATCAGTGCCACCTATCCGTGCCACCCTCATTAGTACTGCCTATCAGGTGCCCTTTAGTGCTGCCTATCAGTGCCGCCTATCAGTGCCCATCAGTGCTGCCTCATCAACGCACATCAGTGAAGGAGAAAAAATACCTGTTTGAAAAATTTTATAATAGAAACAAAGAAACTTTTTTTTTTTCAAATTTTTTGCACTTTTGTTATTTATAGCGCAAAAAGTAAAGCGCCCAGTGGCGATTAAATACCACCAAAAGAAAGCTCTATTTGTGAGAAAAAAACATTATCAAAAATTTTCATATGGGTACAATGTTGCATGACCGCGCAATTGTCAATCAAAGTGCGGCAGCGCTGAAAGCTGAAAATTGGCCTGGTAAATAAGGGGGTTTTAAGCGCCTGGTAGGCAAGTGGTTAATGCGTTTTAGTAATACGCTTTTTATGCATTCCAAACAATTTTTTTCCCCTCTCTTGTTATTCAATTTAAAGGTAAATTTATCAAAATCAAGTACAAATACATAAAACAAAAGAAAAAAATCAAAGGTGGTTATGATCCATGTGGATACAATAAGATAGTGCATATATTAGTGAGCGGAAAAGGATCGATAACTGATATTATGGAGGTAGAACATAACAGACTGTCGGGGGGAGGGTATCCCCTGGCACGGGTGTATGGACCAATATGAAAAAAACACTGCACAACCAAGATGATAAATCATAATTGAGGAGAAAGACAGAAAGAAAAAGAGAATGAGAAAAAAAAAAGTTCTTCAATTTAAATAGGGACAAATGCATTCCAGTGGCGTTTTTGGTGCGTTCCAGTGCATTTTGTATTTACACAACGTTCCAGTACAGTTCTGTGCAGAAAAAATGCTCTAACTTTTTTTTTCTGCATCTGGAACGCACTGGAACTGCAAGCACTGATGTGAACAATGACATTGACAACCGAATAACCTACTTTCTGTGTGTTCTAATGCAGAAAAAACGCAACTGAAAAGCATGTAGTGTGAACTGGCCCCAAAGGCTTCTAAAAGCTTTATGTGTATGTGTGGACGCATAGAATAAACATGGAGGGGCATTCGGAAAGCAGTAAAAAAACCCCAAAATGATGACGCTCCTAAAATCAGCATTAATGCCCTGTGTGCATGAGGCCAGACAGGTACACAGCTTGTGGGATCCTGAGTGTTGATTTTGATTGCATTGTGTATATTCCTGGCAGTGCACACCTGTCATATCCTGTGGACAGAGCATCAGATTGCTGTCATGTGGGTCAGGGGACATGGCATGAGTCACCCTCATTTCTAATGTGTACAAGGATGTCAATGAACACTTTCTTTCCCCTTGGTCATCCTCATCATTTCCCCTGAGTTTCAGTGCTGGTGATACTGGGGAATTCTCTGTGCAGCTGATGACACACTCCATAAAGTGACGAGGCTGCCAAAACAGAGGGGGGAGGTGACGGGAGGGTGAAACCACTCATTGTTGTGACAAAACAGAGAATCCAGCCCAACTGGTTTCATGGCTCCTGGTGAGTTTCTGTGAGATGGAGAACCGGATCGATGCAGACAAACTCCTCCCCAAGGTGCTGGGGCTATATCTACCTTTGTAGGTTCCCACATCCCTCACATTCCTCATCAGCCAAGAGGCAGCACACCTTGACATCTCCAGCAGCAGCAGCAGCAGCAGCGGATCGAGCATCCACCCATGGCTTCTCTGGGTCTGCAGGTGTTGGGCATCGCCCTCTCTATCATAGGATGGCTGGGCACTTTGATCACCTGTGCTCTCCCTATGTGGAGGGTGACAGCCTTCATCGGGAACAACATCGTGGTGGCCCAGATCGTTTGGGAAGGACTATGGATGAACTGCGTGGTGCAGAGCACAGGGCAGATGCAGTGCAAGATCTATGACTCCATGCTGGCCCTTCCTCAGGACCTCCAGGCAGCCAGAGCCCTGGTGGTCATCGCCATCATTGTGGCCCTCCTGGGAGTGCTCATGGCCATCATTGGAGGCAAGTGCACCAACTGCGTGGAAGATGAGTCTGCCAAGGCTAAGGTCATGATCGTCGCTGGCATCATCTTCATCCTGGCCGGAATCCTCACCTTGATCCCAGTGTCCTGGTCCGCCAACAACATCATCCGAGACTTCTACAATCCTCTGGTGGTGGAAGCTCAGAAGAGAGAGCTGGGGGCATCGCTGTACATTGGCTGGGCGGCCGCTGCCTTGCTCCTCCTGGGCGGTGCCATGCTGTGCTGCAACTGCCCACCAAGGGACCAGAAGCCTTACTCTGCCAAATACTCCGCAGCACGATCTGGACCAGCCAGCAACTACGTGTAATCAGCCCTACGGGGACGCCGACTGCCTTGTCCAGGAGCCAACGAAGGACACGAGGACTTTGAACCTTTATTCACCATCTACTTCATTATTGTTACAAACTTTGGATTTGCCACATAAGATCAATGGTGACTTTGGCTGTTTTTTTTTTTTTTTTTTTTTTTAAGACTGTGAACTGAACAAACCTAGGCAGGGAACACTTGCCCCACCCAGCAGAGGACGCTGTCATTGACTGTTAAGATCGATGAAGACGGAAAAACAAAATCACTAATCATTTGGGTGGAGGCTACGACCGGGATTTTGGGTGGGGAAAGTGTTACCTGTTGAGTGAGTCTGCACCAGGTTGGGCTACACAGGCGCTTGGTGACAGCTGCTAGAGCTCTACACGCCCCTGGTGGTCATTGTTGTGTACTGCAGGAAAAGAGCTTTGGCAAGCCACAGACCGTCAGCGAACTCAGGGAAACGTATCAGTAGAATCTGGGAGGCCTACTGAGATATATCTAGGCACAGAGGGAGGGGGAGAGAAACTAGAGTCTGCTTCTGAGCTGCAAGCCAGTGATTTAATATAAAAAAAAGAATATGGAGGTTAATTAATTTCAGTATTCGATATTTCACGCCGGGCAAATCGCTGAAGCGCAGCTCCCACTCACCATTTGGCGCAGTGGGGGTTGTTCAGAATGCTTTTGATGATTTTTTTTATTTTCAGTGCTTAGTCGATTTGCCCAAATCAGGATGTGATGATACAGCAACATACTACTTACGCTTGATTTAAATACTGTTATGTATATTTAAGAAAAACAAAACTGTACCTGGTCTGTACAGTCTTAACGCAATATAGCGCCTTTATAAATCTGCATTATTTTCCCTCCATGTTATTACAGATATCCCTGTTAGTATAATATTGATCAGTGCAAACTGTACATAGCTGAATATTCATGCAAAGTTTGTACAAAGTCTGTAAAATGTCAATGTGCAAAGCCAAATGAATGCCTTTTTTAAATTGTTATTTTTGTATTTTGTAAATGTTTATGCTTTTTCCAAATAATACATGTTTCTACAATAAAAAAAAAAACTTACTCTTTCTCTAATTGTATTTTTATATTGTTTAAGTCATGTGTGAAAATGGCTGAATATGTGATTTATAATAGTATGGTATGATGGTGGAATTGAAGGGAGGTTGCTGTGTGTTGGAAAGGTGCCTGGATGTGTGTGGGATGAGTTATCTGCATGTTTGTGTTTAAGGTTAAGCAAGGTTAAATGCCAGAAACAAGGTTTAGCATTATGTATTAAATATAACCGTCAATTAAGCTCTAAACGTTTACATACAATTTGATCTATATCGATATTAATTTACGCACAGAGGGAAGGAAACAATCTGTCATTGTAATTTATTTATATTTCACTAATATATCATTTTAAAAGCGAACGTTATCCTAAAGTATATAAAATGTAAAGTAAAATGTGAATTGGTCTATTCAAGAACTTATTCAGGTATGTGTAAATTCCATCTGATCATCTAATAGTTGGTTATAAGGAATCCAGTGGCAAGATCTGAGAACCCAGACTGGTAAGTCCACCATAGAGTGGTATTTCAGTTAAAGAAGAACTTTGGGCAAAATCTTTATTTTTCCATGCATCACACTGCATGAGTTATCTGCTCATTTTGTCCAGGAGCACAAGGAAACACTATACTTACCCGATCCTCTGGAAAACAGTGCTCTCCAAATCCAGCAGTGGACCATTCCTGCTGTTCTCATGTCCAGAGTTGGTCTATGGGCGTGATGACATCAGGAACAGTTCATTCACAAGACCACTAGCATGCGGGGGGGGGGGGGGCAGGGACCGGTCTTGCGCTAGGAGGATCGGCAGATTAATTAAATATATCTCCACTCTGCATTCCCCTAGACCAGGGGTCTGCAGACTGTTGAAGCAAAGGGCCAGTTTACTGCCCTTCAAACTTTAGGGGGGTCAGACTTTGGCCAGTGGGAGTAGAAAATGCCTTGACATCATTGGGAGTACACAAAGCCATAGGGTATGGTGGTCAGTGGGAGTAAAAAAAAAATCATAATTTGTGTCAGTGGGAGGAATAGTGCCTGTTCATTGGTGTCACTGGGAGGAATAGTGCCTGTTCATTGGTGTCAGTAGGAGGAATAGTGCTCCTTTATTGGTGTCAATAGAAGAATTAGTTCCCCATCTCTGGTGGAAAGAATAATAACCCATTGTTGGTGGTAGTGGGAGGAATAGTGCCCCAAGGGCCAGATAAAGACAAGCAAAGGGCCACATCTGGCCCAAGGACTGCAGTTTGGAGACCCCTGGCCTAGACAAAAATGAGCAGTTAACCCATGCATTGTGGGCACAGCTCCACTGCAAGGGAAAATAACAATTTTGCCCAGAGTATTTCTTCAAAGGTGTAATCTAAAGAGTTGAATCCACCATGGGCTTCTTATGTATCTAAGGTCTTCAGTGGCTCAAACTCTGTGCAACAGTTCCCAGCAGTCTTCCTGCCCACCTTGAAGTGTCCTCAGTCCTCTCCACAAACAAATGAAAGTTAAGGTATTTGCCATGACAAGTGGGCAGACTTGGAAGTTCAAATGCAGATATCTTACTACCAAGAGACACAAAAAGCTGTAAGAGAGGGTAACTTTCCAGAATATAGCAGTCATTGAAATGTTAATTTGTGGTCAATCGACCTTTTCAGGTTTAAGGTCAATCATGGTCAATACTAGAGGATTTCACTCTCTCAATAGGTCATATTTATATTGTGGAGAATGCTTTTGGAGAAATTAGACTTTCACTGCTGTGTCACAAAGTGTAAAGGTACCGTAGCCAGAGGCAAGGGCATGGTCCAACCACTCTTTGCCACATTATTCCGATGGCAAATCAATAAAAGTTTCAATCCGCAAATCAACAAGGAGAAAGACCTTCCCATGATAGACATGCCAAGATATAATATCAGGTGGGTTAGTGTGATCTGCGATGTTTGTTGGTGATCATCGACTTGGTATGTAGTCATATAACACACCCTAAGTAAGTGACGCATGTGTACAGTAGTTTTGTTCTCGCAGTGTATTCTTGGCTATGTACTAGATCTTGGGCAACCACTTAATTTGCAGTGAAACTGAACAGGTGCTTCTCCTACGAACAGATAGTACTCTCAGCCAAATGTTTTGCAGATGCTTATTTAACCTTATGCCAAATTCCTTGAAAAAAACAACACACGGGTACCATGAGGTGCCTGGGCCATTATTACCACAAACTTTATCAGATTCTATGGCTGGACCATCCCCCAGATTCCGTCATTTGTTCCAAGGTAGAACTTAGGAAATGAGGATAAAACAAAAAAAAAAACAGTGGATGAGTTAATAAAACATTAAGGGTGAATGAACCTAGGCCTAAGGTATGAAGTGAAGTATCCCTATATGAACTTCTCCAGCCATACAAAAAGGAATGCTTTCAAAATAGAGCTTTTTCTCCACTTGACTGGATGTTTAACCAGTTAAATTCTAGAGCCATTTGCACAGTTCAGGTATGAATATATTCGTTCACCAATCACTTTGTTGTTGCTTATGATACCAGTGGGTATATTTACAAAGTGGTGAATGTGATATTCACCAAATATTCACTGCCAGTGCATCTTTCTGGTGTATGTGTTTTAAATTACAGTGATTTATTCACTTGCAGTGAATGTTTGGTGAATGTCACATTTACTGCTTTATAAATATACCCAATATGTTTTTGGTAGGACAATTAATACTTTATTTTATTGCTTGAATTGGAAAAGGAAAAAAAAAACAAAAACTTTTTTGCCCCTCATTCACAGCTCACGTCTGCACCCCTTTATCCACCCTTTGTCATGGACTTGCTTGGACAGTCTCATTTTTTGTTCAGTTGTCCCGATGAGACTGTGTCCAAGGAATGAGCCACAGGATTTTCATTCAAATATGCCACATATGGGTGTGTGTGGTGGAGGGGCAGGATAGTACTACTGGTCTGATACTGGAGAGGAGGCATTGAAGGAGCTGGTGAAAGGGTGAGGGTGAGTTGTACACAAGGAGTTAGGTGAGCTGCGTTCAGGTGAGCTGTGGACAAGGGTTCAGAGGCACAGGTGAGCTGTAGAGGATGGGTGCAGGTAAGTTTGGCTCAAGTGAGCTATGGACAAGGTTCAGAGGCACAGGTGAGCTGTAGAGGATGGGTGCAGGTAAGTTTGGCTCAAGTGAGCTATGAACAAGTGGTTCAGAAGGCAGGTAAACGGTGGACAAGGGGTTCAAATGAGCTGTAGACAAAGAGTGCAGGGAGTGCAAGTAATCTGTTGATGAAGGGTGGATGTGACTTGTGGATAAGGGGTGCAGAGACAAGTGGTGGGATAAAGGGGTGCAGACATGAGCTGTGAATGAGGGGTGCAGAAGCAAGCTGTGCCTAATGTGTGAGTGTAGGGGGTTAGCTGTGGAGGAGGGGTGCAATGGTGAACTGTGAATAAGGGGTGCAGAGGAGGAAGGAAGCGAAGGTGAACTGTGGAGGAGGGGTGCAGAGGCAAATTGTGGATGATGGATGCACCCATGGACAGTGGATGAAGGGCAGGGTGAACAAGGAGTGCAGAAGTGCCTAGAGTGAGGAAAATGAGTTGTGTAGGAGGGTGCAGAAGCATGTGGTGATGAGTTGTACAGAGGCTAAGTGGTGAATAAGAGGTGAAGAAGCAAGCTGTGATCGATGCATGCAGAGGCAAGTAGTGGAAGGGTATTCAAAGCCAAATGATGAGTGAGTTGTGCACGGCAGAGCTGTGGATAGAGAGTACAGAGGCAAGCAGTGGATGTGGGTGCAGAGACAGGCAGTGCAAAAGCAGCACAAAGGTGAAAAAGTGCTGGGGGGGTTATTACTGCACCCATTCACACCCATGCTGGAGGTTGTTACTGCAACCACTAACACCAATGCCAGGGGATTTTATTGCATCTACTGACGTTGATGAAGATTTTCTTACATTTTCTTCAGTGTATCTCCAAGCCCTA